GGGTCGTGCACTCAGTGTGTGCACTATGAAAAAAATCGGGGATCACTTAGTACCTTGTGGGAGCACCAGTTCAACTGAACGCCAGCTAGAGCAAATAACATGGCAAACACCAGTGATTCACTGATGTCATGTCATATTAACACTCACATTTTTAAGAGGAAAGTAAAAATAGGTTAGATAAATGCATGAGTGGGTGTGGGTGGGTGTGAGTTGGACCTGATTAGCTTGTGCTACTGGGTCAGATGTAGTGCTCCTTCTTTCAGTGGATGTGACCTGACTAGGTGGGTCATTGGTCTAAGCTGGGGGGTAACATGGACCTGCTTTGCATGGGCCAGTAGGCCTGCTGCAGTGTTCCTTCTTTCTTATGTTCATATGTATTTGCCTGGCTAGCTGGCTGGCTTTGGCTGTCTCTGTCTATCTGTCTATATCTCTGTCTGTCTGTCACTGTCCATTTGTATATCGGTCTCTCACATGTACTCATAAATACAGTTATTATACATAATGTAAATTACCTAGGATAACCCAAAAATTCCATTAGGTAGTAGGTTGGTAGACAGCAACTGCCCAGGGAGGTACTACCGTCCTGCCAAGTGAGTGTAAAATGAAAGCCTGTAATTGTTTTACATGATGGTAGGATTGCTGGTGTCTTTTGTCTGTCTCATAAACATGCAAGGTTTCAGGTATGTCTTGCTACTTCTACTTACACTTAGGTCACACTACACATACATGTACAGGCATATATATACACACCCCTCTGGGTTTTCTTCTATTTTCTTTCTAGTTCTTGTTTATTTCCTCTTATCTCCACGGGGAAGTGGAACAGAATTCTTCCTCCGTAAGCCATGCGTGTTGTAAAAGACAACTAAAATGCCAGGAGCACGGGGCTAGTAACCCCTTCTCCTGTATAAATTACTAAATTTGAAAAGAGAAACTTTTGTTTTTCTTTTTGGGCCACCCTGCCTCAGTGGGATATGGCCAGTTTGTTGAAAGAAGAAAAGAAGAACCCAAAAATTCCAGGCCAAGTGCTATACATTGTTTGTAGATATAAGACATAAGTAAACACGACACAAATAATAGCAGTGTCACTTGCTCAGCAATCAAGGAGTGGTCCATACACCACAAACCAACAGGTTTACTAGCCACTCCCTGAGACATAGACAAGCAGATGGAAAGACAGACACACAGGCAGACAGAAAGACAGATAAGCAGGACTAGACAGACAGATAAGCAGAACTAGGCAGACTGACAGACAGACATACAAAGACATGTTTGTGTGCAAGAGTAAGAACATATAAAGGCAAGGTTTCCCCTCCAGCAGCGCATATTCATCAAATGTCACTTGTTATCTGACGCTTGTCATAACACCATTATTCAGGGAGTTCATATTATACTCTAGGCGCACACACAGAAGACAGAAAGACAGATACGCTGAACGGGGACAGACAGATAAGCAGAACTAGGCAGACAGACAGATAGATGTACAGACTGACAGACAGACATATAAAGACATGTTTGTGTGCAAGAGTAAAACATATAAAGGCAAGGTTTCCCCTCCAGCAGGGCACATTCATCAAATGCCACTTATCTGATGCTTGTCATAACACCATTCTTCAAGGAGGTTCATACTCCAGCATGTCTAAAACATTGCTGGGACCTAAAAATACTTTGTATATATTTCTAAACAATAGTAAATGACCAGAGCAGGTGAAAAATGTTCACCTGTCAGTGTGATTGTTACAATTTGAGTACTATTTCAGTACATAATATTAGTGTCAGAACAAAGATTGGCTATGAAATCACAAGAACTATTATAAATTGTAATTATCAGTACATAAAAATTATATGAATTAAAATAAAAACGAGAAAAAAAAGGTAAATCAGCAACACTTCTGCAAGCGGCAAGACTGGATGTTGCCGTCAGGTGAGCATCCAGAGCCAACTTCACGGTCTTGTATCTTGGTAAGTACTGGTCCTAAAAAAATTTTTTTTTTGGTTTTATACCACACAGAAAATAGCCCTCTTTAATTTAAAAACAAAAAAAAAAACGATTTTTTTATTTTTCAAAATATTTGGAACGCCTCGCAGGTGAACGTAGATCTACGTTTGGACAGTTTAAGGATTAAAAATTATCACCACTGTACTCTATATGAAAACATTCATTAAGCCTTTCACTGTCAGTATCCCCATCTCAAATTGAAAGCCTTTCCCCTGTGTTGCCATTTCTTCTTATTAAAAAATGGCAGAGAATCTTTTTCTAAAGATACTGTAATGACAAAAATGCAAAAGTTTGATGCAATACTTAAAGGATTATGCAAGTATTAAGCTGAAGGTCACAGAGCAATTCTTGGCTATTTTGTTAGTATGCCGTCTGTGTTATCCACTATAATGCAGAGAATTCGAAGTCTGGAAATTAAGAGAAGGTGCGGGATTACTGAAACTATTATCCAGAGGGCTGAGGAGGGGTTGTTGAGATGGTTTGGACATGTAGAGAGGATGGAGCAAAATAAAATGACTTCAAGAGTGTATAAATCTGTAGTGGAGGGAAGGTGGGGTAGAGGTTGGCCTAGGAAAGTTTGGAGGGAGGGGGTAAAGGAAGTTTCGTGTGCAAGGGACTTGGACTTCCAGCAAGCATGCATGAGCATGTTAGATAGAAGCAAATGGAGACAAATGGTTTTTAGGACTTGACATGCTGTTAGAATGTGAGCAGGGTAATATGAAGGGATTCAGTGAAACCAGCAGGCCGAACTCGAGTCCTGGAGATGGGAAGTACAGTGCCTGCACTCTGAAGAAGGGGTGTTAATGTTGCAGTTTTATAATTGTAGTGTAAGCACACCTCTGGCAAGACAGTGATGGAGTGAATAATGGTGAAAGTTTTTCTTTTTCGGGCCACCCTACCTTGGTGCGAAATGGCCGACGTGTTAATAAATATATAACAAATAAATTTAATTAAGTGTCCTGGCCTCAGTAACATAGATCTATGTGAGACAGTGAAAGGGTTAACTTTTTTGCTAAACTGAAAGCTATTGAAATTGAATCCTGGAAAATTACTCTCTCTGTTTTGTAAGACTAGAACATAAAGTTAAAAATGTATACTTAATGACCAAGGTCTGTTCCCATGACAAGGTCATTAAGCAAATTGGTCGATAAGCGAGGAGCATACTGTGCTGATAATGGGTTTGTGTCAGCCATCTTTAGATATTGTTTTAATGTCTCCTTTGCAACATTTATGACATTTTTTAGTATACAGTGGACCTCAAATTTAGTAGTGCCATTTCTGTATGCAAAACTATTTTTATCTATAAAATGTATTTTCTGTTAATATTTTTGGGTGTCTGGAATGGTTTAATTGGATTTACATTATTTCCTATGGGAAATATTAACAAAAAATACATTTTATAGATAATAAAAATAGTTTTGCATACAGAAATGACACTACTAAATTCGAGGGTCCACTGTATTTTTAAATGTTTATCCAGTAGTGTACTGTATATTGTAATAAACAGAAAAGAGGAAATCAGCTCTAATATGCATTACTTAGGCTTACATACTGGTCAGAGAGCTGGTCATAAGTCTGCGCAATCGTTAACAGGTAATTTGTTAAATGAGGAGTGTATTTTCTTTGTAATCGGCTAAAAAAAATTAGATCTTCCTTTAAATGGCTTGAATTTTTAGCAAATGTTTTAAAATTTCCTTCTGTTGTCATAAAACATAAGATATATGATTTAAGTCTTGGGAAGACTGTGATGCCTCCTTGTGTAGCTTATTTTTTTAGTCAAAATTACTGTTATACTATGTGTATAACTTTCATATACATATGTACTGTATAAAATCTGCTTTTTTTGGCTTTTTAAATTAATAAAAAATACAATGAGTTGATTAAATATGGAAATGAATCAAGTGAATGCTCACTCTTCCCAATTTGTAGATACTACATGTATATGTTTAACCTTGTTATTTACTTTGCTCTCTCTCATAAAGATGGACTTCCATTTGTTGATAAAGGTTGTCAGCTAATAAAAAAATTTATTTAATGTACTATATAATACCTTTTCATAATTTGGTGCAGTAATTAAAAATTCAGTTTTAATTATTCACATTGAATAAACTACATCATAATATACCACTCTCTTGTAATTCTGTTCTATGATACTAACTTATTTTTTTAATTCATTCCAGTAATAGCTGGATATATATATGCAGTAAAAACAAATCCAGATGAGATGGATTTTCAAGATACTTTGCAGAAATACATGAATGAATCAGCTCTGTTAAGTGCCAAGATTAGGAACAAAGAAGTTAATGCTCATTTCAACTATATGGTAGACTGCTACAATCATGGCTTGGTGAGAAGGTGAATGTCATCACATTTTTAGTCCTTTTTTTCCCTCTCAAAACTTGTCTCTCTTACATACTGAACATAATAATAATAATAATAATAATAATCCTAGGTAGTAGGTTGGTAGACAACAACCACCCAGGGAGCTACTGCTGTCCTGCCAAGTGAGTGTAAAACAGAAACCTGTAATTTTTTTTACATGATGGCAGGACTGCTGGCATCTTTTTTACTGTCTCATAAACACGCAATTATTATTATTATGATCAAGGGGGAAGCGCTAAACCGTAGGATTATACAGCGCCCAGGGGAGGGGGGATGTGGAAGGCATTCAGGCTTAATTCGGGGAACTGGAGCACAGATCCAATTCCTTAAATCAAGAGCCCCTCACCAACATCAAGGAACCTTCCATGAGGGGTCATAAACACGCAAGATTTCAGGTACATCTTGCTACTAATATTTACACTTACACTTTTAGTTCTTCCCACATTTCTTGACTCCTGTAAGATTCCTTTAGCTTTAGTTCAACATTTGCTATTTCTCTGACCGGTGCCTCCCTATGTATTACATAGATAATGCAAATTTTAATAAATATTTTTATTCAAATAACTTTTTTCATCAGATCTGTTTATTACTTTTAAATTGCTTTTATTTCAGGTTAAGCCTTGGATTTTGCTCATTTCTTTGGGTAGACAACTATTCCAAGGCATGTGGTGTGTTCAAGAGTCAATGTGAATATCTCAAACCACGTTATTTGACATTTCATGAGCGCATTATGGACGTAGGCTTCCTTGGTAATTGGTGGATTATTTACAAAAAAATGGAGGATTTTGATATTAATTCTGAAGAATGGGTAGAAAGTGATGAAAAAAGGATAAATATATTAAGCAAATAAATAAATATAAATGGTTTACTAATGATACTTGTCTACTTCACAACATTAAATGTTAATGACAAAAAATAGCAGGGTCAGTGACTTGAAACTTCTACATCCTCATCCCCCTTTCAGTGTTGGCTTTGTAACATATAATATGGAGACGCTCTGAACCATAAGTGTCATACAGCACCAGATAGGTTTGTTGCAACTTTAGTAAGCAAAAAAAAAAAAATTTTTTTTTGCTGGGTCTCTAGACAATGAACTTTCAAAATCTGCACATTCAGTCCTTCAAAAACTTGCTCTTTTCAATAGGAAGTTATCCCTTTGTAACTGTTTCCTCAAGTCTGACCTAGTAATTGCAAGAATGTTGGCAATACGGGAGACTTCTTTTGCAGCACTACATTGGTCACTTCAGACTTGCCAGTGATCTTCTCATGGTTATACTGCTCCATTCTCCCCCTAAGGAAGGTGCTTGATATCATTGAGGGGATTCTGTTCCAAGGAATTAGACTTATCCTTCCCTTAGAATTAGATGAACATGATTACATCCTGTTCCCCTTGTGCTGTATGATGCTTATACGTTGAACATTTCTCCCCATGAAGGCACATGTACTGTTCCATTCTGCAAGAACTGCAAACTCACATCAGCTATCCAGTATACAGCATTTTGATCTGTTTTATTTATCAGAGCACACATTATTTTCAACACTTTCAGTGCCCTGCTATGCTTGTTATTCACTCTTCAAAGTACCCCTTTTAATACAGATGGAATCTATCTGTGGGTGATCAATTACACATAGTTATAATTACAATAATAATAAAGTGCTAAACCCACAAACTTTGCTGCAATTTGGCGTTTCATCTTTCCTCCAACAGTTGTGCTTTATATCCGAATTCTGCTGCTCTATTTTTTCTCCTAAATTATGCCCTCATCTGTTGTACAGCACTTTTTTTTCTTTTTACCTCAGTGGCTGTCTTGTTACCAAGGCAGGGTTACTAAAACTTTTCTTTTTTTTTTCAAGAAGTCAGCCGTCTCCCACCGAGGCAGGGTGGCCCAAAAAGAAAATACATGTACTTTCATCATCATTCAACACTTTCACCTCACTCATACATAATCACTGTTTTTGCAGAGGTGCCCAGATACAACAATTTAGAAGCATATATAAAGATATATAACATATCCCTCCAAACTGCCAATATCCCAAACCCCTCCTTTAAAGTGCAGTCAGTTGTTTTGCCAAATATTTGCTGACATCACAATTGTTTATCCCCATTTCCTCCAATATATAATCTTGCTAAATTTTGTAAAAGAATTTGCCATCTCTAAAGGAGGGGTTAAAGATACTGTTTTGAGGGATATCTGAACTGTCATATCTGCATGCCTTTGGCAAGACAGTGTTGAGGTGAATAATGGTGAAAGTGTTTCTTTTTCTAGCCATCCTACCTCAGTGGGAGATGGCCAGTGTGTTAAAAAGAAAAAAAAAAGTATATCTATACATGGTGAAAAAATTATGAATAATGTAAATAATTTTGTATGGTGTTACATAATAAAAAGGGATCCTTTTTTTGCAAAATATCTAAAAAGGAGTCCCTTAAAGGGGGGAAAATAAAAAAAAATTTTTTCCAAATTGAATTTTATTTTATTTTTTTTCCCCCTTACAAATAAACCATTAGCCATTTCAATTTTTTTCGGGAAAGCAAGAGATTCTTTTAATTTTTTATTAACAAGCCCTTAAATTTTAAAAACCTGTAATACTTTCTTTAAAAAAAAAAACATTATACTGCACTTTTTTTAAGTAAATTTAAATGACTTTGACTATGAAAATGACCCAAGACATTTCTAAAAACTTACAGTGATTTACTTATTTTTAAAAAATCGGTTAGCTTTTTTTAATAATTCAGTTAAAGGGTGACAACCCCGTTTTAATATTAACTGAAGGAGAACAAACAGGTGAATTATGCTGAGTATTCAGTTGAGGGGCCCTTTAATTTTTACCAGGGGAATTTAAAAGTAAACCCAAGGTTAGCACAGAGAAACTCCAAAGAGCACGTAAGTGCTGGCTTCAAAACACCATCCAGGTACATTGAAAAGGACAATAACACAAAAGTAGGTTTCAGGCATCGGCAATAACATGGGAGATGTACTACCCCCCAAACCACTGTAGGCATGATCCCTCGACCCTAAAAACCACCAGCACTAAGGTTACTAGAATGGGTGGCCAGACAAACACCTGAAACAATATTATCACATTTTTTTATAAAAACTTTTACGACAAAAACTGAGTACACGGGGATGAAAAAAATATAAAAAATTTAAATGAAAAAATTGCAATCATTATTAGCAACATATTTCCCCCCAAACTAAGAATTTTTGCACAAGCCTTTAACATTTGTTCTTTAAAGAAAATTTTTTTAAGATGGTCCTTTAATCTAGTACGGCATACTCCGCTAATAAGCACCATTTTTTTAAAGTTTCCTAATATGATCTTTTCAAGTTTATTTTTTTCATGGTGATGCACACAGCTGACTGGTGCCATTTTGTTTTACCTGCACTCTGTTTACGTATCTGAGCACTTTTTGTCATTTCAGCACTACTGAAATGACCTAATTGAAATCCCATTACAAATCTGTTCCACCCCCCAAAAAAAACATAATTTTTTTGTTTTTTTTAAATAAGAAAAATGTTTTAAAATAAATAAGAAATATTGTATAATAAATAACAAAAGAGAATGTAAAGAAATAAACGGGGTTTTATAAAGTGTATTTACCTTTGGGGAATCAGAATTTGCTTATGTCGGCGGAATTCCTGAGTTTGAGGGCGGGAAAAAAAAACACTTCAAATATAACGCTATCAACTCACGGTTTTTTACTATCAAATTGATCTAATTGACTAATAAACACTAAGAAAACATAGAAACATGATTATACTCTAGAATAAAGAAAATAAGCCATAATATGGCGAGTGCCGGACCAGTTGAGAATAAAACATTCTGTCCTTTTATAAGTGTTTTTTGGGTTGGGTAAGAGAAAACAATTTTTTGAGAGGAACTCACTAGAGGGGCCCCTCGTTCCGGGTGAATATCTCAAATTACCACTTTTTTTCATAAAAGCCCAATTTATTATTGAGTCCTAAATGCAATAATTTGACGGGAAAAAAAAAATTATTGTTCTACAATTGGCTTGGGAATTTAAAATATATTCCAAAAAAAATTTTTGGGGTTGTGTGGGGGTAAAGGGCAAGATATTTGCAAATGCAAAATCTTAGCAAATTTATTTTTGTTTTTGTTTTGATATTTTAGCTCATTTTTAAACGGGTTTTTTTGGTCACCCCCAGAGCAAAAAATTTACCGAGCGATGGCCCCCAACCCGAAAATTGTAAAACTGGGGCACTAAATCAAGGTACCACTGTAATTTTCAATTCCCTTTTTCTAGGGGTCATTTGCACTCTGCTATTACTGAACCCTTGCATTTGTGGGTTCCCCATTTATAAAATCATTAATCAAAACTTTCATTTTTTCTCAAAAAATTTCATGAAAGTATTTTTTTCCCAAAAAAGTTTTAAAAATTTATAACCTGGAGAGTGAAATCTTTCAACTTACCTTTTGTAACTTTACATGCATTTCTCAAAATCTGTGAACACAAACTCCTTGTCCAAATTATTTTTTATATAACTCTGCTGTTGAAGAATGCACAAGGTAATGTTTATGAAGGGATTCAAGGAAACTAATTAGCTGAACTTGAATCCTGGAGGTGGGAAAAAGCCATGTCGCATCCCGTAGAGGGGTGGGGATGTTGCAGTTCAGAGGGTCAGTTGAGCTGCAATGTCTGTGCACTTCTGGTAAGACATCCATTTAATGAATGATGGTGATTATGCAAGTGCATTAAAAAGTAGTTTATTTTACCCAGTTGATCAGTACACTATTGCATACCTTTAAATTTTTGTTAAGAAGGCTAAAACCCTCATTTCTGTTATATTCAATCCTGGTATTTACCTTTAGGGAACAAACACTGCTTCTAAGACCGTTTTCAGGGAAATTGCCCTTTGTTGCCCCTAAAAAGTTTCCATGCCATTTTTTACTCTGCACCTTTCCTGTCCATACTACATTATTTTTGAGTTTTTTTTCACTTTTTTCGTTTAGCATCTTATTTTATTTTACACAGCAGTTTCCCACCAAAATAGTGACCCAAATAAAAAAACTTAAGTCACCTTCCCATTCTCCAATTCAAATGACCATTTTAACTCAAGTCCCTGCCAAATTTTACTTCTTCTAATTTTATTTTTGTGGAACCCTGGTTTTCGTCCGGGCCCGTTATTGTACAATTCATTTTCGACCACTTTTTTTAGGCAAATTTTTTGTTTTGTAATCCCCTCGGAAATCGTCCTACCAAAGCGTCCACCTGCCCGCAGGATGCAGCCTCATATGCCACGACCCGTCTGCCCTTTATTATGTAGAGGGTGGTAGGGTTGTGATATGGTGTGATTGTGGTACTGTGGTGGAGAGATAACCTTCCTCCCTTCCCCCCCCTTGCCACTTTCTATGCAACAAGTCTTCAAAAAGGTAAAAGTGATTTAAGTGTTCATTTATCCATTTCTAAGTGCTTTTATTTTTTTATTTCTCAAGTTTTCGGGATTAAAACTAGTTTTCTCTAAAATTACTTTTTTTAGTTTTTTTGGGTGCCCGGAACGGATTAATTAATTTCTTATTTTTTATGGGAAATTTACTTCAGTTTTCATACAAATCGGTTTTCGGCTGCTCTTCTGGAGCGGATTAAAGACGAAAACTGGGGTTCCACTGTACTTCAAAAAACTAATATTTATTTAACAATTCTATATTAATATACAATTTTAAAAAATTATTTCTTACCTCCAATATAGTTACTCCAAGCCACAGTGTTAGCTCACGCAGACTGAAAAACATCTTTGCTTATTGGATGTCTAATTTCTTGATATTCATAAATTTGCCAATTCTTAGATGCTTAAAAGCATATTGACACATGGATACTTATTTCACACTACCACAGCATTTTCAATTTTTCAGTTTTTGCATAAAAATGTTTTAAAACAAATACCATTTTCATATGCTTTTAGTTAATTCCTATACACACAGCGTATGTACATTGCAAAACTTTTCAGCCACAAATCTGACACAAATGCACTTTAATTTCTCTTTTTTGTTAATAAACTTCCATTAGAATATTTAGTTATGTAAAACTGATAACTTTTACATAACAAAACACTATATTTGCAAGATTTACTACACACTAGCTTCCTTTTACCAGTCTGTTGGGATCTTTTGCTGTAGAATTGATTTTACCATTACTCTGAGGAAGAGAAATCTTGATGTGCACAGCTGCACAGCCTTTCGAGTGATAACTGTGGTCTACTCCATCTAGTGAGGGTTCAGCATCACCTGTATAAATGGAATGAATAAAATAAATATCTGCAAGTATCTACACAGAGCAACAAATTATCATGTAGCAACATTAAAGCATATTTTCACATACCGAATGATTTACAGTAATATTAATGAAGTCTGAAAAATAGCTGACAGTTGCATTATTTTGTTTTCTGAGGGGGGAGGGGAGGGCCAAAGTAAAATCAGAGACTGCCACAGTGTAAAGATCTGCTCAACTCTCCCCAGTTTTTTCAAATATCAGTTGTGGCTACAGTTAGAGTAAGAGGTAGATGGGACAAGAGGAAAATGACAACAAGTAAGAAGGAGGTGAACGTGTATAAACTAAGGGAGGAGGAAGTTCGGGTGAGATATAAGCAACTATTGGCAGAAAGGTTTGCTGGTGCGAGTAGGGGGGGGGGGGGTTTGAAGAGGGTTGGAATAGTTTTAAAAATGAAGTATTAGAATGTGGGGCAGAAGTTTGTGGTTATAGGAGGGTGGGTGCAGGAGGAAAGAGGAGTGATTGGTGGAATGATGAAGTAAAAGGTGTGATAAAAGAGAAAAAGGTAGCTTATAAGAGGTTTTTACAAAGCAGAAGTGTTATACGAAGAGTAGAGTATATGGAGAGTAAAAGAAAGGTGAAGAGAGTGGTGAGAGAGTGCAAAAGGAGAGCAGATGATAGAGTGGGAGAGGCACTGTCAAGAAATTTTAATGAAAATAATAAAAAAATTTGGAGCGAGTTAAATAAGTTAAGAAAGCCTAGGGAACAAATGGATATGTCAGTTAAAAACACAGTAGGGGAGTTAGTGGATGGGGAGATGGAGGTATTGGGTAGATGGCAAGAATATTTTCAGGAACTTTTAAATGTCGACGAAGAATTAGGGGGGATATGATAGAGGTGTATAAATGGAAAACAGGAATAAATAAAGGGGATATAAATAGCATGCTGAAAATTTCCAGCCAAGACAGGACTCGCAGCAATGGTTTCAAGCTGGAAAAATTCAGATTCAGGAAGGATATAGGTTTGGTTTGGTAATAGAGTCGTGGATGAGTGGGAAAAAACTCCCGAGTGCAGTTATTCAGGCTAAAAAGTTGTGTAGTTTTAAAATTAGGTTAGATAAATACATGAGTGGGTGTGAGTTGGACCTGGCTAGCTTGT